ACCCCAGTTCATCTCAAGAGTCTGGCAGGCATTCTTCAAACCCCTCGGAGTATCCGTAAGCCTCTCCTCCGGTTACCATCCTCAAACTAACGGCCAGACTGAAAGAAAGATTCAAGAGATCGGGAGATACCTGAGGTCCTACTGCCACCAGAACCAGGACAGCTGGAGCCAACTCCTCCCTTGGGCAGAATACGCTCAAAATTCCCTACGTCAATCCACCACAGGGCTCACCCATTTCAATGCATCCTAGGTTACCAACCTCCTCTATTTCCCTGGTCAGGTGAGCCCTCGGAGGTTCCCGCTGTCAACCACAGGTTTGAGCAGAGCGAGAGGGTATGGGACTCAGCTCACGTGCATCAACAACAGGCAGTGCGGAGACACAAGAGACAAGCTGACGTCCACCGAACACCTACCCCTCGCTACCAACTGGGACAGAAGGTATGGCTCTCGACGCGGGACATCCGTCTCAGCCTGCCCTGCCGTAAGCTGAGTCCCCGGTACATAGGTCCATTCACAGTGCAGAGGCAGCTCAACGAAGTCATTTACAGATTGATCCTACCACCTCACTACCGAATTTCACCATCCTTTCACGTATCACTCCTCAAACCTCACTCTGAACCTCTGTTTTCTCCTCCCACAGAATCTGGTGACGACAGAGTGCCTCCTCCTCCCAACATCACAGAGGAAGAGCCCATCTATCTAGTTTGAACCATCCTGGACTTACCTGGAATACCTCATCGACTGGGAGAATTACGGTCCCGAGGAACGCTCCTGGCTGTTACGTGATGATATCCTCGATCCCACACTCCTCACACAATATCACTCTGAACACCCAGATTGACCAGCTCCCAGAGGTCGAGGTAGACCTCGTCGTCGTCATTGTCCCATCCAGTCGTCAGGAGCCTCCCATGGAGGAGGGGGTACTGTAACGGAGTCACCAGATCAGCATGCTCCGCCCTCTTGTTCACTCTCCCCGGACTTCTAATTTACCGCTCCTGCATTTCTGATTCACCGCACCTGCACATCATCAATCACCCTCACTATAAACAGACACTTCCCCTTCACTTCCTTGTCTGGTCTCGTCCTTACGTTACCACACAGACTCTCGCCAATCCTTACCTGAATACTTACCATGAAGATCCCGTTCCTGTTCATCATCTCCGACCATCATCTCCTGCTGCTTCTTCATCCGCCATCTGTCGTCTGCATGCTGTATCCAGCCCGCATCTATAACAGAGATATCAAGATAACCATCAAGCTAAGTTCCTCATTCAGTTCTGATTCTTCATATATCTACTCACCGATCATCACTGCAGTTCACATCCGTGCCTCTGTTCAAGTAAACACTGTTTATATTACTACTCACCTGTCTGCTTCTCTCTATAACCGTGAAAGCAGGAGTGCTCAATAGGTTCAAATCGCTGTTTTTTTTAGTGTACTACACGCTGCTCACAGGGCAAGAGTACTCAATAGGTTCAAATTGCTGTTATTTTAGTGTATTACGCGCTGCTCTCAGGGCAGGAATACTCAATAGATTCAAATCGCTGTTATTTTAGTGCATTTCGCGCTGCTCTCAGGGCAGGAGTGCTCAATAGATTCAAATCGCTGTTTTTTTGTGTACTACGTGCTGCTCTCAGGGCAGTAGTAGTCAATAGATTCAAATTGCTGTTATTTTAGTGTATTACGTGCTGCTCTCAGCAGGGCAGGATTACTCAATAGATTCAAATCGCTGTTATTTTAGGGTATTACACACTGCTCTCAGGGCAGGAGTACTCAATAGATTAAAATCGCTGTTATTTTAGGGTATTACACACTGCTCTCAGGGCAGGAGTGCTCAATAGATTTTTAGTGTATTACGTGCTGCTCTCAGCATGGCAGGAGTGCTCAATAGATTTTTAGTGTATTACGTGCTTCTCTCAGCAGGGCAGGAGTACTCTGTAGTAGAGATGCGCGGATGGGCTATTATTTCATCCGCAACCGCATCACAAAACTCATCATCCGTCCGCCATCCATCCGCACCAACGTTTTTGACCAATTTTCAAAACCGCACCCGCCCGCCATCCACTGATTGGGCGATACAAGGCGCTGCTGATGACAGCCGCGAGACTAGAAAGCTCTCAGAATATCAGCAGTGAACTCCTCTCCGATCGGCGCGCAGGGACAAAAATAAATAAATAGACTAAATTAAACGCACTTCGGCAAACCTGACCTTATCTGATAGGCTACTGTACAATATTTTCATTGTAGCCTAATAGAAAACGCATTTTGGCACATCATTTCAACATGCTGCTATTATGGGGCGCCAACAATGTTACGTGACAGTTCTCCATTACGGACGCGAACACTCTGTGAAAGTCTTTTAGTGCCGCTTTCAGAGACCTCAAACAGAAGCACAAAGCCTTTCTTTAAAGCGAATTTCGTTTTGTATTAATTGTATCTTAATTTTAATCCATGTTTCATTAACCAATTTCCTGTATTTAATAAATAAAAAGTAAATAGTCTATCTTGATTGTGTAGCCTAGGCTATTTTTCATTATAAAATATTAGGCTGTGTATACCGACATGGATCAATTATTAATATTAGATTTCATCTGTATTTTGTAGTTATAGCTGATGGCGCACCAACAAACAAGCACTGACTTTCTTACGGCGTTTCTTTAATATCGAGGCAGAGGCTCTATAGTTTATTATATGATTGTTAGGCCTGTTGATGGTATAAAATGAATTGCACTGTGCCTGAAAAAGACCCGCTCTCCGCTCTCTTCCCGTGCATTCAAAATTAACGGGAGTCTTCAGAACAGGCTCGTCCAGCGTCAACAGCACCGAACTTAGCTCCAATGTCAATCAATGTCTGGGCCACTTCGTGGAATCCTTTACCAGAATTTTTTTTTGGTTGTAGGTATAGTCAGATAACATTAACAATATTTAACAATGTATACTGTTACGACCCCCTAGTCTAGGGTTAGGAACGCCGATAACAAAACAATGGAAAATATCACCTCTCCTGTCCCAGATCACACACAAAAATAAACATAACACATTGTCCTAGGACGTAACACCCCCACCCTTAGTTACAAAACCCGATTTGTAACAATAAATTACTAAGAACTTGAAAGATCCACCACATCTTCAAATTTCTTTTTCTGCGCGCGCGTTACGACACATGCTGGGAAAGCAGTGGGAAACTGTGACAGAGCAGCTACCTGAGTGCCCACGTTCGGCTCGGCAGATACGATCGGGTACGGAAACACTTTGGTTCCAGCTAAATCATTACCCAAAATCATACTCACGCCATCCACAGGTAATTCTGAATGCACACCGATAGTAACCGTGCCGGAGATAAGGTCAGATTTCAGCTGAACGGTATGCAACGGCACCGGAGTACAGCCCATTTCAATACCACGAATGAGCACATCATTACCTGTATACGAATTCAACGAGAACGGCAGAGCACTTTCTAATATCAAGGATTGTGCAGCTCCCGTATCTCGTAGCATCACTATAGGGTTTACCTCGATGTTATCTGAAAGCGAAACTAAACAGGTTTGTAAAAACGATCCAAAAGCATCCAATCTTTTTCCTGGTGCCAGTTCAGAAAGGGAGGTAAACGCTACCCCTCTAGGCTTACCGCCAGCTTTCTGCTGCCAAGCTTTACAGCTTGTAATCAAATGGCCAGGATCAAGACAATAAAAACAAACTCTTTTTCTATCAGGCCGCTTCTGCGCAGATGCTTCACCGTCGACCCTGAAAGAGTTGTCCCTCGTCATCCTCTTATCTTTCCCTACGTCCACGACCAAGGAGGGTTTAAGAGCGCGCATAACTGGGAACACAGTTTTATGAGTAAGTGCGAATTCGTCTGCAAATGTTGCCGCATCGAAAAGCTTAGCTACTTTCTGCTCATTTAAATGGACAACAATATTTTCTGGCAAACTATTTTTAAAATCTTCGAGCAAAATCAGTTCTTGCAATTCATCAAAAGTTGTAATTTTAGTAGAAACACACCACTTCTCAAATAACGATCTCTTTTCACGCGCAAACTCCACAAACGTTTGCTTGGCTGTCTTTGAACACGCCCTGAACTTCTGCCGATACGCCTCCGGTACCAATTCATAAGCGTGCAAGACAGCCAATTTCACAAGATCATAGTTCAGCGAATCATCGATCGGCAAAGCTGCGCAAACCTCTTGGGCTTTGCCAACGAGATTACACTGCAACAACAACGCCCACATATCTCTGGGCCATTTCAATTTAGCCGCGACACGTTCAAAAGCCACAAAATACGAGTCAACTTCAGACTCACGAAATGGAGGTACAAGTTTAATGTACTTACCCACATCAAAGTCAGGTTGCCCCACCTCGGAACTACCGGAAACAAGTCTGGTGCGCGGTGACGGAACGGGTCTGTTGCGCTGGACTTCCAACTCTAACCTACGCAACGCAACATCCTGATCAGTCTTTAACTCTAACTCTTTCAATCGGAGTAGTTGCGTTTCATGCTCCTGCTTTCTAATATCAACTTTTTTGGTGGGGGAGGTGTGTGGAACGAAGTATGTGAATCTGCCTTGTCAGATGCGGTTTCTTCCTCAAACTCTGACCCATGAGCAAGTCCAGGAAAAATACCGGTCTCAACTAACCTACCATACAACTCATCTTTAATTACCTGTTTCTTTTCCTCTTTAGGGACCGTTATGTTGTAAAATTCTGCTATTAGAATTAGATCTACTTTTCTACACCGCTCGAATTCCTTTAACGTAGGTGACAGCGTAAACTTAACTAAATCGAAATCCATATTAAGCATAAAACTTCCTCCCCCACCAAAAAAATTCAAAGCAGCCAAGCAAACTACCGGAAACAGCCAATAGATATGACGACTAATGGATCCCGGACGAGCCCCCAATTGTTACGACCCCCTAGTCTAGGGTTAGGAACGCCGATAACAAAACAATGGAAAATATCCCCTCTCCTGTCCCAGATCACACACAAAATACCACAACACAATGTAGTATCAAAAGATAAGCTTTTTTATTTACACAGAAATAGAAAAGCTGAAAGCATGACTCTTCAGGAGGGGTTCACGCCAAAATAACAAACCAAAAAGAATTCTACCTAACAAGGAATTAAATATAACTTACCTAACAAATGAAAACCCCAAAGAAAATACAACAATCTTCCCTTACTCACTTTAGGCCGTCACGTTAGGCCAGCGGTCCGCGAGCTGCTTAAAAGGTAGTCCGTGATAGGAGGTCAGCGGAACGCTGCGCGCCGCCCCCTAGATGATTTTTCGGGGGCCGGCCGACCGCGCCCGGCCGCAGGGGGGGACCGACGGGGCGGGCCAGAGGCGTCGCCTCGGGCCGGGGGGCCTCGGGGGCCCCGCGGGAGCCCGACGAAATTCGGCCCCCTCGCTCGCAATACGGGCATCGGCCACAGGGGGGCGACTCGCCGACCGCCTGCAGTCGTTTCGACGCGCGCCGAACAGGTTGCAGGCGGGCGCCCACGGAGCGCACGCGCCTACCCCTGACCGCCTTTTCGGGAAATTCCCTGACCACACCCACCGTCCACTGAGCGCCCTTTCGTCCCAAAGACAGCCTGTGACCGCCCCCTGACCACGCCCACTGACACAAACAGCCTATTCGTCCCCCTGACCGCCTTTGTGACAGCAAACGGCCTGTTCGCCCACGGGCAATCTAAGAGACGGCCCGGGGCCCCGCCCACTGACACGAACAGCTCATTCGTCCCCCTGACCGCCTGTGTGACAGCGAACGGCCTGTTCGCCCACGGGCAATCTAAGAGACGGCCCGGGGCCCCGCCCACTGACACGAACAGCTCATTCGTCCCCCTGACCACCTGTGTGACAACGAACGGCCTGTTCGCCCACGGGCAATCTAAGAGACGGCCCGGGGCCCCGCCCACTGACACAAACAGCTCATTCGTCCCCCTGACCGCCTGTGTGACAGCGAACGGCCTGTTCGCCCACGGGCAATCTAAGAGACGGCCCGGGGCCCCGCCCACTGACACGAACAGCTCATTCGTCCCCCTGACCTCCTGTGTGACAGCGAACGGCCTGTTGGCCAACGGGCAATCTAAGAGACGGCCCGGGGCCCCACCCACTGACACGAACAGCTCATTCGTCCCCCTGACCACCTGTGTGACAACGAACGGCCTGTTCGTCCACCACCACCACCACCGGGTGTATCTCGGGAACCAAGCCGAGTTGGAGCTCCAAACTCCGGGCCAGAGTATGGAGCCCCAAGTCGGCTTAGCTCCCGAGATACATCCGGTCAAATTCGGCATCCCACCTGTAGCTTGATAAGTTACACACTGGCCTTCAGCACATATGCTGAAATCCCCAATTCCTTACAGGGATTCACCGGCTGAAAATGTCTAACACTATGCACAATTATTGGCTGTAATGTACATGAGTGTGTTGTGGTGTGTCCCCTGAGTTGTGTACAGTAGGTTTGACCACATAAAACCACTGTCCTATAGGGCCTCTGTCAAATAAGTTGAAGGTGGGCAAAGTAAGGGCCCACCTGTAACTGATTTGACAGGGTCCCTTTGTGCACTCCGTGGTCAATGCATTAATAGGTCATATTTCATAATTATACATGTTTTATTACTCTAAACAGCCAGTACAGTGCACAGGGAAGACAATCCAACATGTTGGGGTACTTTACAGTTCACAATTATGCATTATTAGACTTAAATGGACATGTCCACGGAGTGCACAAAGGGGCCCTGTCGAACAAGTCACAGGTGGGCCCTTACTTTGCCCACCTGTAACTTATTCGACAGGGCCCCTTTGTGCACTCCGTGGTCAATGCATTAAAAGGTCATATTTCATAATTATACATGTTTTATGACTCTAAACAGCCAGTACAGTGCACAGGGAAGACAATCCAACATGTTGGGGTACTTTACAGTTCACAATTATGCATTATTAGACTTAAATGGACATGTCCACGGAGTGCACAAAGGGGCCCTGTCGAACAAGTTACAGGTGGGCCCTTACTTTGCCCACCTGTAACTTATTCGACAGGGCCCCTTTGTGCACTCCGTGGTCAATGCATTAATAGGTCATGTTTCGTAATTATAAATGTTTTATTACTCTAAACAGCCAGTACAGTGCACAGGGAAGACAATCCAACATGTTGGGGTACTTTACAGTTCATAATTATGCATTATAAGCCTTAAAACGACATGTCCACGGAGTGCACAAAGGGGCCCTGTCAAATAAGTTACAGTTGGTATGTTTTTTTATATTTTGAGGTCATGGTTGATAAAAATGAATAAAATTGATTAAATATCAATTTTAGGTTCATCTTTGGGCCCCCCTGAGCAATTAGCAGCCTTCAGAACCCAGAAATCCCACTGTCCATGAACAGCCTGAATTTTTGAATGGTATAAGTTGCAGGTGGAACGTACAGATCTCAGCCTCTGGACAGAATTTGGAGATGAAACCTGCACTCCTGTGCTCATCTGGGCACGCCCTGTCCCTGGTGTGAATTTCAAAGAGATTGGAGAAACTTGAAAATTCGACCCAAAAAATCTCAAAGGGGTATCCCTTGGAGAATTTTTCAGTCAGATTTTCAAGTTTCTCCAAACTCCCTGAAATGCACAGCACTGTCGGGGCACGTCCAGACAAGGGCAGGAGTGCAGGTTTCAGCTCCCAATTCTGTCCAGAGGCTGAGATCTGGACGTTCCACCTGCAACTTATACCATTCAAAAATTCAGGCTGTTCATGGACAGTGGAATTTCTGGGTTCTGAAGGCTGCAAATCGCTCAGGGGGGCCCACAGATGAACCTAAAATTGATATTTAATCAATTTTATTCATTTTTATCAACCATGACCTCAAAATATAAAAAAACATACCAACTGTAACTTATTTGACAGGGCCCCTTTGTGCACTCCGTGGTCAATGCATTAATAGGTCATAATTCGTGATTTTTAATGTTTTTATTACTTAAAAATAGAGTACAGTGCACAGGGAATACAATCCAACACGTTGGGGTACTTTAGAGTTCACAATTATGCATTATTAGCCTTAAATGGGCATGTCCACGGAGTAAACAAAGGGGCCCTGTCAAATAAGTTACAGGTGTCAGGTCCCACTTGTAACTTGTTTGACAGGGCCCCTTAGCTCCCGAGATACATCCGGTCAAATTCGGCATCCCACCTGTAGCTTGATAAGTTACACACTGGCCTTCAGCACATATGCGGAAATCCCCAATTCCTTACAGGGATTCACCGGCTGAAAATGTCTAACACTATGCACAATTATTGGCTGTAATGTACATGAGTGTGTTGTGGTGTGTCCCCTGAGTTGTGTACAGTAGGTTTGACCACATAAAACCACTGTCCTATAGGGCCTCTGTCAAATAAGTTGAAGGTGGGCAAAGTAACGGCCCACCTGTAACTGATTTGACAGGGTCCCTTTGTGCACTCCGTGGTCAATGCATTAATAGGTCATATTTCATAATTATACATGTTTTATTACTCTAAACAGCCAGTACAGTGCACAGGGAAGACAATCCAACATGTTGGGGTACTTTACAGTTCACAATCATGCATTATTAGACTTAAATGGACATGTCCACGGAGTGCACAAAGGGGCCCTGTCAAATAAGTTACAGGTGGGCCCTTACTTTGCCCACCTGTAACTTATTCGACAGGGCCCCTTTGTGCACTCCGTGGTCAATGCATTAAAAGGTCATATTTCATAATTATACATGTTTTATTACTCTAAACAGCCAGTACAGTGCACAGGGAAGACAATCCAACATGTTGGGGTACTTTACAGTTCACAATTATGCATTATTAGACTTAAATGGACATGTCCACGGAGTGCACAAAGGGGCCCTGTCGAACAAGTCACAGGTGGGCCCTTACTTTGCCCACCTGTAACTTATTCGACAGGGCCCCTTTGTGCACTCCGTGGTCAATGCATTAATAGGTCATGTTTCGTAATTATAAATGTTTTATTACTCTAAACAGCCAGTACAGTGCACAGGGAAGACAATCCAACATGTTGGGGTACTTTACAGTTCACAATTATGCATTATAAGCCTTAAAACGACATGTCCACGGAGTGCACAAAGGGGCCCTGTCGAACAAGTCACAGGTGGGCCCTTACTTTGCCCACCTGTAACTTATTCGACAGGGCCCCTTTGTGCACTCCGTGGTCAATGCATTAATAGGTCATGTTTCGTAATTATAAATGTTTTATTACTCTAAACAGCCAGTACAGTGCACAGGGAAGACAATCCAACATGTTGGGGTACTTTACAGTTCATAATTATGCATTATAAGCCTTAAAACGACATGTCCACGGAGTGCACAAAGGGGCCCTGTCAAATAAGTTACAGTTGGTATGTTTTTTTATATTTTGAGGTCATGGTTGATAAAAATGAATAAAATTGATTAAATATCAATTTTAGGTTCATCTTTGGGCCCCCCTGAGCAATTAGCAGCCTTCAGAACCCAGAAATCCCACTGTCCATGAACAGCCTGAATTTTTGAATGGTATAAGTTGCAGGTGGAACGTCCAGATCTCAGCCTCTGGACAGAATTTGGAGATGAAACCTGCACTCCTGTGCTCATCTGGGCACGCCCTGTCCCTGGTGTGAATTTCAAAGAGATTGGAGAAACTTGAAAATTCGACCCAAAAAATCTCAAAGGGGTATCCCTTGGAGAATTTTTCAGTCAGATTTTCAAGTTTCTCCAAACTCCCTGAAATGCACAGCACTGTCGGGGCACGTCCAGACAAGGGCAGGAGTGCAGGTTTCAGCTCCCAATTCTGTCCAGAGGCTGAGATCTGGACGTTCCACCTGCAACTTATACCATTCAAAAATTCAGGCTGTTCATGGACAGTGGAATTTCTGGGTTCTGAAGGCTGCAAATCGCTCAGGGGGGCCCACAGATGAACCTAAAATTGATATTTAATCAATTTTATTCATTTTTATCAACCATGACCTCAAAATATAAAAAAACATACCAACTGTAACTTATTTGACAGGGCCCCTTTGTGCACTCCGTGGTCAATGCATTAATAGGTCATAATTCGTGATTTTTAATGTTTTTATTACTTAAAAATAGAGTACAGTGCACAGGGAATACAATCCAACACATTGGGGTACTTTAGAGTTCACAATTATGCATTATTAGCCTTAAATGGGCATGTCC